AAGAAAGCATGATTTTCGTGGGATCCTCGACGCGTGCAGATAAAGGGCCAGACATGGCATATATATTCTCAGAATATCTAACAGGGATGAGGAGCTGGGAATTATACGCCTCACACCTTTCTTTAGTCATGGGTTCAGAGATAAACCTTGGTCCCTCTGTCGAAGCAGGAGAAGAGTTTGTGGGGAAGATATCTGGTTGACGCTGTACGTCAGCAACATTCTTAGGTTTGGGGTTGTTGGGAGCGTTAGAGAGGAAAGCCATTGTTATGAGATAATAAGGAACAAAGATGAAGGTGTAAGGTGTTTTTTCTGCAGAGAAGATTAAAAATGCTAAGTGTTGTGAAAGTTCCAAAAGAGAGGGCTCAAGGCTATTTATAGTGTCCAGAGGGAAGTATGTCTCGTCAAGGCCATTTAATGCTATGGACATAGTGGGGCACATGGAAAGCAGCAAAGAAGTTATCGTGCAGGTGATGGGGAACATTTGACATGCTTGCCTAGGTTCTAGGAGTAATGGTCATAATGGCAGCATGGTAACGGCTGATTGAAATGACGTCTTGGGAAAAGAGTAATGATGGTTCTGAGTGTGGCAGCTGTTGGAAGGCGAAAAGCGCACATTAAAGCCTTTTTGGACAAAAAGGGAAGGTGTCGAATAGGAATGTCAAAGAATGACTATTTCTCTCGACGTCGAAATAGGCATTCTTGGGGGGCAATTTGTTGGCTCTTGAATTCGACACCTACTATATATTGGCCCCATAGACCAAAAAGGGAGCAGATAAAGCCAAGCTGGAAAATGCTTCGAAAGATGGAAAAAACTTAGAGAAAATATATGAGTTACAAATTGGTCTTCGACCAGACATCACCATCAAGCCTTCGACGGGAAAGGTCCTGAGACATTCGACTAGGAGAACAAACCTTTGTGTCAGCACCAAGGACGAAGGATATTTGAATTTGAAGATTGGAGGAAAATGCAGTTCGCCAGCAGTTAAGGGAAAGCGACGTGGCAGGAAGATAGAGGTCGAGGGACATGCAGAAGAAACTTGTCTTCATCTTAGAAGCAAAGCCACCCTCGACAGTTACATAATTTTAGTATAAAAATAGGAAGTTTGTGTAGATGTTCCGTGTGTTCAACCTATGGTGCTAGTTACTCAATATTATTCAAGTACCCGCTGTGTGTGAAAGAATAACTGAGAATGTACGTTGGAAACACCATTTTTTATTAATAAAGTCTTTTTACATTGCTTTGATATTCTTTTGCAAAGTTTACATTTCTACATCTTTACCTGCACTTCTAGTTACTTTCTTACTTTCCAAAACCATAAACACAATATCCTTGGTAGAACGTGCATTCTTCCTAGATATTAACTTTCACATCAAACCAGCATAAAAATTAGCATATGTTCTGGGATCAATCTGATCGATCCCGCAAGTAACCAAAAGGACTTTCCTTTTTGGAGGATCAGCGGTTGTTTACCAAAATCCATGGTAAACAATACCAAATGTTGTTTTTCTCAGTGTTCGATTGAGTGTTGACCATTAACACTACATCATCAGAATCACTATCAGTCGCCCTCGCTGATTTCTTTCTTCGACAGTCTCGAGCATAATGACCATAACCTTGACAATTGTAACATTGCACCTCTTTTGTGTCAACTTTCTTTCCAAAATACTTGTTGCCTACACCTTTTTTTATTGAATCAATATTCTTGCTTGACTTCTCATCACCAACAAGATTCATTTGTTGCTTCGACTTATCTTTTCCAGCTTTCTTGCTGAATCTTGATTGCAATGCCTGCTCACTCACCTTCTCTCTTTCTGAGTTTCTATGCTTCAACCTCATCTCATGAATCTCTAATGAAGCTTGGAGCTCTTATAACTTCATCTCAGATAGAGTCTTGGCCTCTTCAATTGTCACTACAATATAGTCAAAATCTGTAGTCAGAGATCTCAACACTTTCTCTATCTTCTACAGATCCGTAACTGATTCACCACATGTCTTCATCTAGTTTGTTAGCGTCATAATTCTTGAGAAATATGCCGAGATTGATTCATCTTCTTTCATCTGAATCATCTTGTATTGCTTCCTCAACGTTTGCAACTTCACCTTCTTCAATTTCTCATCTCCATCGTACAAATTCTTTAACTTGTCCCACACTCCTTTTTTCGTTTCTTCTTCAATTATGTTCTCAAATACATCAGAATCCATACACTAGTGAATCAAGAACAATATTTTACCATCTTTCTTCCTTTGATCTTTGTGCACAGCTTTCTGAGCATCTGTCTCATTTGCTTCCAGTTTTAATACTCCATCATTCAAGATTTCAACAACATCTTGAAATATGAAGATAACCTTCATCTGTGCAACTCACCGTTTATAGTTTTCATCTTTGAAAATCGGTAGGTTTGCTGGAAATTGTATTGAGTTGTTGTTTCGTTTGCCATTAGATTCTCTCTGAATTGCAATCGAGCTCTGTTATACCAATTTGTTAGAACAAGTGATTTTCAAGAAAGATGATTGATAAAAGAAGAAGAAGAAGAAGAAGAAGAAGAAGAGAGAGAGAGAGAGAGAGAGAGAGAGAGAGAGAGAGAGAGAGAGAGAGAGAGAGAGAGAGAGAGAGAGAGAGAGAGAGAGAGAGAGAGAGAGAGAGAGAGAGAGAGAGAGAGAGAGAGAGAGAGAGAGAGAGAGAGAGAGAGAGAGAGAGAGAGAGAGAGGTTTGTTATTGATTCTAACTTAATTATAAAACTGAATTGTAGTTGTATTGTTTGTTACAAATTAAGCAGCCCTTTACATAGGTTTGCAAAACCCGAACCCAAAAATAAAATTTTGATAAACTATAATAACAGTTGTATTCGACTCTATTAAATATAACTCACAACCTATTCGAAATTAACTATTTTGACATAATACTTATATAGACACTTCAACATAATATAAATTACACTATCTATCTAGAAGGGTTAAGATACGCACTTTCTTTTTGTCTTATTTTGAATAGGGATCTTATCAATGTTTACTTTAATATATATGTTATGTCCATTTATTTTAAATTCACATTGCATCTTCTCATAATAAAAAGAACACAATTCCGTTAGCAAAAGAAATAAACATTTTCCAGTCAAGTTTATTTTTGGCGATAAAAAATAATATAGAATAATTGGAGTTATTATGATTTTAAAAACTATTTTATTCAACTGGAAACTTCAAAAATAAAGGGTAGAGTTAATATAAATAATTTAAGATCATTAAAAAGGAATTAGGCATAGTATATTTTCCGGCAACGAATAGTAAATTTTAGGAATGGACAAATTTGAATTGACGGATCGAAATCAATCGATCTATTATCTTTTTTATGTAAATGAATTGGATCGGATTGAATGTCGGGTTGATTGAGTTATTTAATTTAGATAGTATATGATTGATTCGGTCGGATCCAAATGATTATTTTAAATTCATCAAAAATCAAATCCGACAAAACTTAATTAATATTTATTTTATATATTTTTTATTACTATAGAGTCGAGCAATTATAAAAATGAGATTCATAATATTTTCAATAATATTTTTAAGTTATTATCTTTTTCATAATTTAATAGTAGTATTGTATAGTAAAAAAAATAGTTCTTTTTTGAATTATTCTAAAATTTTGATAATTTTTTATAAAAAAATTAAAAGATAAATATTTATGAATTTTATAAAAGATGAGTCATTTTTATAGATTTATCTAAATAAATATTAAATCGACTAAATTAAATTCGTAAAAAGCTGAAATTTTATCGATCGGAATTAGGCATTAATAATGAAATTGCGGTTTGTATCAAATTTAAATTTTTGAGCTCATTTCGACTCAAACTGACCGATTGTCCACCCTAACAAATTTTATAGATAAAGAACAAGAATCCCAATATCTCATATATGGTCGACCTTTTGAGATCCAAACCTACCATGTGGCCCTAGAAATTGTCTCCAAGATGAACGGCTCAGATGAATTCAAAAACAGTTAACGTTACTCCAATGTCAAAATCAAAACAATTAAAATCACAAAACAACATCGGAAAATTGCTTAAAATAAATAAAGCAATATTTGAACTTTGAAAAAATTTGATGAGAAAGGTTCACGTGTGCATGGTGGTACATCTGACACGTGCAAAAATATTTACGTAATCAACAAACAGAAAAGAGAACTGTTGAGAGAGAAAACTCGGAATCAGTGTGTGGGGCCCATGTAAGGGTGATGGTCAAGGTGAGGCAGTGGCTCGTGCGAGTGAGCCCATTGGCATTGCTGTCTGTTGAGGCTCACGTGAATGATTGAAGCTTTTTTTTCTCTCTTCTTTTCATGGTTCTGTGAAAATTGTAAGCTTTTTTAGTCGTTGATTATTGACTTTATTCCAAAGATAAAGGAATGATGAAACATAATGAGTTTGGGCTTTTTGAAACTATTTTTGCGGTTTGATGTTGAGGTTAATGGGTTTGGTGGGCTTTTTGAATTTATAATAGAGAGTGGGTGGGGCATGTTGTGTTTTTCTGTGATAGGTTCATGGATGAGATTCTCGGCTTGTATCATCTAAAGAAGTGTATACAATTGATTTTATCCTACTCTATATGAAGAAATAGTTATGCTGATTGAGATTAAGTGAATGATTACTAGAAGTGGTTTATAAACAACAATCAAGATACTCATGGAACCATGTTACACCAAATCCTACTTGAAAAGTTGATATCTTTTTAAACAAACTTGAAAAGCGCATTTTGTGTAAACATCTAAATGCAAAATTCATTAGCAAAAATGTCATGCATTGTTTATAACATATAACACTATTAAAACATTCTTCTCTATATCCACTTGTTATTACTATTTCTCTATAAAATTTATGCAAGTTTTACTAACTTCACTTACATAGAGTTTATAATCATTGATAAAAGTGTGTTAAAGAGAATATGTAAATATCATTGCATAAGATATAACCTATAATAAAACATACACCGTTATGTTTTTTTTTCTTTTTCAATTAAGTGATGAGAGTTGCACAACACAACAATGACTACAAAGCTCTTTCTCACCTTCCATTTCCATTGGTTCAAAGCTCCTCCAAGCATCTGCACTAGTTGATGTATCGAATACATGAACAACAGACATTGTTCTTGCCAATTCTCCATCACCAACCCTATAGCCCGCCAAGAAAAACAATCTATTCCCAATCGGCGCCATAGTCAAGTAGAGTCTTTGATTAAAAGGCCAATTCTCGTAGTTATATTCCAACGTCGAAAGACTTCTCTTACGTGATCCCTCGACTTCATTCCAAAGTGTTCCATCGTAAGCCTCAACGTGTCCTTTCCAAGCATTCAAACAATCACCCGAGCTAAAAAGTGACTCATTCACCGCCACAATTTGATTAGGTGGTACATCGAGTTGCCACATGCCTGCGATAAGTTCCCATTTATTTGCTTGCATGTCATAAACTTCAGCTGAACTCCGTTCAACGATACTAGTCATAGTTAAATTAGAGTCTTCTCTTTCAGCGAAACCTCCAATAATATAAACTTTACTTTTCCACGTCACGCCTAAACATTTATATCTTAAAATATGCAAATCAGACAAACGCGTCCATGTATCAAGTTCAGGATCATACAACTCAGACGACGAGATCCCTCTTGCACTTGCCAACATGGACTTTCCTCCAGCCACAAAAATTTTGTTGTCACAAACAGTGCAAGCAAAATCATACCTAGCAACACCTAATGGTGCACAATTAAACCATTGATTGGTTCTTATATTGTAACGAAGTACATTAGGTATAACTTTTATACCTTCATCAAGAAACTCAGCCGAATCATCATTAACATGAACTTTTTCTTTGTAACAAATTTGTCCTCCAATTATATAAACAAAATCTCCTAATGAAACCATGGAAAATCCCTTTAACACTTGGTCATCAACTAGGCCCGGAAATGTACCAACATAGTTCCATGTGTTGGTGGAAGGGTAATAAAGGTGAATTGAATTAGAAAGTGTCACATTTGGTGTTGGCTCTCTAGGACAGAAAATTGTAACCATGACATAATTTGAAAGAAGATTTTCTTGGGAAGGTGATGGTGGTGGTGATGGAAGAGACCCCATTGGAAAATTTGGGGGATTATTAAGCAAAGTTTATTAGTGATGCTATATTTTGTGTGAGTGGGAAATGTAACAATATAAAGAGGAGGTGGAGATATAGAAAATGGGGGCGGAGAAAACAAAATAAAATTTGTTTGTGAATATCAACTGGTAAGAAAAAATGGAGGTGAAATCAAAGGTTTTTCTTGTGATTGATACTATATAGTATTATATAAGATTTTATTTTATAAGCCTATCATATAGTAGTAACATTTAGTGGTAGTTACTAAAAACAATATGTAGCATTTAGTGGATCTGTCTATATTTATGTTAGCATTTGGATTAGGGATATGATATTAACTAGTGTTTTCCGGATATCCCAATGTTTGAGTAGGTAGAGAACAAAAAAATTAGTATAATTTTATTAGATTAATATTTATTGGTGGCGTTGATTGTTATGTTAGCATTTGGAATTTTGGTAGAATGATTTTGACATGTTTTGATTTTTTATGTTTTGATTTTTTTTAAAGATTAATCGTTATATATTGTTAGTGTAAAAAGTTTTATACTATCAGTATAACACAACTATAAATAAATATTATTTTATTTAAAATTAAAATAAAAATCTAATCTAATTTAAATTTTAACGATTATCATTTATTGATAATGTAAAATTTATTTATCCTATCAATATATTCTAATTAAATTCCTTTTTTAAACGTTCTCCTTCTGTTCAAAAACAATATATTTACTTTTGATTGGTTAAAAAATAACTGATTTTTTTTAATGAATATGAGTGGTAGGGATACATATAAATAGTTAGGTTTTATCTTTAATTTATACTAATTTCAATTTTTTTATATATGCTTCTTCACGATCAATATTAATATATATATGAAAGGTAAGTGATTCGAATTTATAAACTATAATTTTATAAGTAGTTTCTTAAACTCTTTATTATAAATCGAAATGTAAGATGAAGTATTACTCTTTTATAAATTTATTTCGGGTTTTATCTTTATTCTACATGAGATTCGGGTTGTTTTTTTTAGGGAAAAAATTTAAATATAATTTTTAAATGTGAATTTTATTATTTTTTAAATATAAATATGATAAATATATTTAAAATATTATTTATTAAGAGAAAATAGAATAAAATTATATATGTAAAGGAAAATCATATATTTATTATATAGTAAAAATCACACCTAAAGAATTGTATTGAATGTTTTTTTAATTGATATTAATTTTAATAGTTCAAATGAGTTTAATTTAAAATTATGAATTTTAGTTTTTAACTTCAATTGTTTCTTTAGAGGGCGTTTGTTTCTGTTAGAATTAATTTAGATTTTATAATTAATTAGATATTAATTTATATTTAGGAATATCTTTTAGATTGTTTATATCTTTGTTAGAAGATATATTTTAGATTTAATTTTGTGTATAAATAGCCTAGTGAAGTAGGTTATTGTAATTCATTGTAAATCCTTATTTTGAAGCTACCAGTAAATATTAATTTATCTTCCTTGTGCACCAACAATTGGTATCAGAGCTCCTGGTTAGAAACTCTGGAATTTGGGAAACATTGTTCCATTAATAGAAATTCTGGGATTTAGGAAACATTGTTTTCATTGAGTTTCTGCGTAAATTGCACAAGGTAGAAGATAAACGGAAACCGCGGCGATATCTATTCCAAGCTTCCAGTATTTGATGGCAAAAATTGGAATCGTTGGAAAATCCACATGCGCATGTTATTTGGTTCTCAAGATGTGTTAGATCTTATCACCGATGGTTATAATCTGTTAGAAGCAGATGCAACAGAGGCACAAAAGGAACATAACATCCAAGGTGAATGCTAGAACTGCAGACTCTGAATTTCTTAGTGCAACAAGTGTTGTCAAGGAGAGTGAGCTGTGGCATAGAAGATTTGGTCATCTGAAATTCAGAAGTTTAGGACATCTGATATCAAAGAATCTCGTACATGGAATTCCTACAATCAAGAAGCCTGAAAAGTCATGCAAGGTGTGCATAGAAGGGAAGCAACCAAGATTACCATTTGCATCAAAAGTAGTTCCAAGAGAAAAACATGACTTGGGAGTAGTGCATTCTGATGTGTGCGGTCCTTTTCCAGTAGCATCAACTGGAGGGAATAAATATTTTGTGTCATTTGTTGATAAGTTCACCAGAATGACATGGGTATCTCTCACAATGTTCAAACACAAGGTATTTGCTGAATTCAAGAAGTTCATACTGAAGGCTGAGAATCAGAGTGGCCAGACTCTGAAGATTCTTAGAACTGATTGTGGTGGTGAGTATAACTCCACAGAATTCAGAAGTTTCTGTGAGGAAAATGGAATTGAGCATGAGGTTACTACTCCATATACTTCTCAACACAATGGTCTTGCTGAAAGAAGAAACCGTACTTTGCTTGATATGGTGAGAAGCATGCTGAAAGAGAAGAAGCTCCCCCATACTCTATGGGGAGAAGTTCTTGCAACTGCATATTGTGTGCTCAACAGATGTCCAACGAAGAAATTGAAGGAAATAGTTCCTATTTAGAAGTGGACTAGAGATAATCAAAGTGTTAGTCATCTGAAGGTGTTTAGTTCTGTATGTTATAAACATGTCCCAGAAGCCAGAAGACAGAAGTTGGATGATAGAAGTAAAGTGATGTTGCTGGTGGGGTACCACAGTACAGGTTCGTACAAACTTTATTGTCCAGAAACTAACATAATTGAGTTCAGCAGAGACGTCATTTTAAAGGAATCAGAAGTTTGGAATTGGGAAAGGTCTCGCCCTGACTTTGATGAGAGAACTTCTGAAGAAAAGTTAGAAATACATGTTTCTGAAGCTAGTAAAGACTCTGACTCTGAAGAAGATACAGAAGGAGAAGATGATTCTGACTCTGACTCCGATGGTGATCCAGACTATGAAGATAATCAAGGTTCTGGAGAAAGTCCAATTTCTGAAGCAAGTGCTTCTTAAGGGGAAAGTTCTGGTGTCCAAAGTTCTGAAGGTCTAGTTCATAGGCAACAAAGAGTCAGAAGCATCCCAAGAAGATTTGAAGAGTTTGGAATGTTGCAAGACATTGAAGTAAACTTTGAAGGAGAAGTTATTCAGTGTGCAACGTTAGTAGACTCTGAACCCGTAAGAATAGAAGAGGCTCTTACGCAGTAGGTTTGGTTACAAACCATGAAAGAATAACTTGATGCTATAGAGAGAAACAAGACTTGGAAGCTGACAGAACTTCCAAAAGGAAAGAAAGCAATCAGTATTAGATGGGTTTTCAAGCAGAAGATAAAGCCAGGTGGATCAATTGGTAAACACAAAGCAAGATTAGTAGCAAGAGGCTTTCTACAGAAGCCTGGGCTGGATTACTTTAAAGTATTTGCACCTGTAATGAGACATGAAACAATCAGACCAGTGATTGCAATAGCTGCTAACAGGAATTGGCCTCTGATGCATTTAGATGTAAAATCTGCATTTCTGAATGGTCCATAATAAGAAGAGGTATATGTATCACAACCTCATGGATTTGAGAAAAAGAATTAGGAAGGGGTGGTTTTCAAATTACACAAAGCCTTGTATGGATTGAAGCAAGCGCCTAGAGCTTGGAATTTGAAGATTGATTAGTTTTTCAAGGAACAAGGGTTTTAGAAGTGTGAGATGGAGTAAGGTGTTTATGTTCAGCACACTTCTGAAGGTAATATGATTCTGGTCTATTTGTATGTTGATGACATATTACTCACTGGAAGTTCTGAACAAGAGATAGCTAAGTTCAAGAAAGTTCTGATGAATGCATTTGAGATGACAAATCTTGAGAAAATGAGTTTCTTTCTAGGGATAGAATTTATGTACTCTGAGAAAGGAATTATTTTACATCAGATGAAGTATGAACTAGAGCTTCTGAAGAGATTTGAGCTAGAGAATTGCAAAGTTGCTATCACACCTGTTGATACGAATCAGAAGTTGGACTCTGATTCTAATGGAGAGGATGTGGACGCTACAATCTTCAAACAATTGGTTGGTTCCCTGAGGTATTTGTGTAATACCAGACCTGATATTTTCTATGCAGTTGGAATGGTTAGCAGATTTATGAGTAAACCAAAATGGTCTCATTACCAAGCTGTTGTCAGGATTCTGAAGTATGTAAAGGGAACTCTGAAATATGGAGTGTTATTTCCGTCTGGAAGAAAGATCGAATAAGAACTTGAGTTATTCTTATTCTAATTGGGGCGAAGATAGAGTTGATAGAAGAAGTGCTTCTGGGTACTTATTCAAATTTCTGGGAGGTCCTATTTCTTAGTGTTCCAAGAAGCAACCTGTTGTTGCTCTATCAACTTGTGAAGCTGAATATATTGCAGGCGCTCTGACTGCGTGTCAAGCTGCATGGATTTTGAACTTGCTGAAAGATCTGAAGATTGAGGTAAATAAACCTATGAAGCTGATGATTGATAACAAGTCTGCAATTAATCTTGCCAAGAATCTAGTGTTGCATGGGAGGAGAAGCAAGCATATTGAGATCAAATATCATTTTCTGAGGAATCAAGTTCAGAGCGAAATATTAGAAGTTGTGCACTGTAGCACCCAGAAGCAGCTGACAGATGTTCTGACAAAGACTATCAAAACTGATCAATTTCTAGGTTTAAGAGATGAAATTGGTGTTGTCAGTTTTGGGTAAATATAAATTAAGGGATGATGTTAGAATTAATTTAGATTTTATAATTAATTAGATATTAATTTATATTTAGGAATATCTTTTAGATTGTTTATATCTTTGATAGAAGATATATATCTTAGATCTTCTTATATCTTTGTTAGAAGATATATTTTAGATTTAATTTTGTGTATAAATAGCCTAATGAAGTAGGTTATTGTAATTCATTGTAAATCCTTATTTTGAAGCTATCGGTAAATATTTTTTTTGTCTTTTATCTTCTTTGTGCACCAACAGTTTCAAGGTGTAAAAATTTATTTTTTGGAATTACTATCCAGAAAAATAAATATAGGAAATTTATTCCAAA